AAGAGAAAAAAAAACAATGATAATGAAACAAAGAAAGCAAAAAAAGAAAAGAAATATAAAAAACAACAAGAAGATTGAAAGGCACCATTGTTGAAAATAGAGAAAGAGCTAGAGCGGTGAAGAACTTGGCCCAAAAAAGAAAAAGGAGAAGCGAAGTACAAAGAAAGCAAATAGTGCAAACAAATATAGAAAACTATAATATATTAATATTAGGGTTTCATAATATAAATAGTTTAAAAGCAAATAAGAGAAAGATAGAGAACATTCTAGACTATATAAAAGAAAAGAAAATCGATATTTTAGAGCTGGCAGAAACAAACATTACAGAGAAAAAAGGAAGGTTTGCTACTAAGAGAGATAGAGAGTATGGTAGCTTCTGAATATTAGCAGAAGAAAACAAGAAAAAAGGCTCAGAAGTCAGATTCATTATAAAAAAAACTTGGGAAAAACATGTTGCACATATGAACAGAAGCAATTCTTACTTCATTAAGTTAGATCTAAGGTTCAAAAGGCTGTATATAATAATAATAGCAGTATATATAGCTTCAGAAAATATAGAGATACAAGAAACTATAAGGAAACATTTAAAGGAAAAAATACAAAAAAAAAGAGAAGCACCAACGTTTTATTATGATTAGAGATTTCAATATAGACCTTAACAAAGAAGTCACAAGAGGTATTAAAGAAAGAAAAGATAAGAAAATGCAGATTACAAGTATATTAATAGAGGAGAATTTTGCAGACATATTTAAAGAAACAAATTCAACAACAAGTAGATATACTTGGGAAAGCTGAGATACAAAAACCAAAATATATACAATTTGGTTAGATAGAGAATAGAAAAAAGAGGTAGCCAAAAAGAAATAGAAGAAATGAGCTATATAATAACAAGCAATCACTGTCTGGTTTGGTGCAAAGTAATAACTGGTTTGGATTTATGTAAAAGAAACGTAACGAGAAAAAGAAGAATAGACAAGACTAGAATCAATCTAGATTTGAAAAGAGCAACAATAGAAGAATAAAAAGAATATACAGCAAAATTAGAAAGAGAAATAATTAATAAAATAGAATCAAAAAAGAAAGAAGAGCAAAGAAATAAAAAGTGCAGAAGGATGAACCTACAAGAAGAGAAGAAACTAGAAAAAAAAAAGAAATTGAAGAAATGTGGGATATAATAGAATTAAGCATACGCAAAGCCATGAACTCAGCTTTACCAAAGAAAAAGAAAATTCTAGAAATTGAAAACAATTTAGCATTCTCAGCAGATCTAGCGAAACAAAGAAAAGATATATGAGCTTTAGAAAAATGGTGCAGTAAATTGAAAAGAGACAAAAGGCTGGGAAAAGACAGAAAGATAGTGGAAGAAGTATAGAAGCTATTAGATAAAATTCGTATAAAGTGAAATTTAGAGAAAATAGAAGATAAAGAAATAATAGCAGAGAGTCAGAAAGGAAGACAAGAAGAAATTAACTATGAAGAAACAGAATTGTGATAGAGAATCCTATATAAAGACTGAAAAAGAAAAAGAAATAAACTAGAAAAAGAAGAAATCAAAAAGTACATTGAGGCAAGATATAAAATAATCATTACTGACCAAAGAAAAATGATCAATAGCCTGCTGGAAAAACTACAAAGAAGCATTAAAATTGACAGAGTGCTCAAAGAGATAAATGGAGAAGAAGAATTATTCACAGAAGAAGCAGAGATTCTGAAAAAAGTCAAGTTTTATTTTACTGAACAATTCTGAGAAAGGAATATAGACTTAAAAAAGATGAATGAAAAATGGAGAAATATTTAAAAGCCAATAGAAGAAGTCAAATTAGAATGGTATTAAGAACTTGACCAAAAAGTCCTAGAAGAAGAATGAGAAGAAGCTTTAAAACAGACCAAGAATAAGTCAACATCAGAACCAACAGGCATAATATATTCCTTAATTAGATAGGCAAGAAAAAAGGCCAAAGAGACATTCAGAAACTTTGCAAGCATGTATATAGCAGAAGGATATATGCCAAAGAAATGGAAGTTAGGCATGCTATATTTAATACCTAAAAGAGAGGATTGGTATTATAATCTAAACAACGTAAGGCTGATCTTGCTGTTAGAAACCTTTAGAAAAACAGTAGTCAGAGTGCTGAACAACAGACTAAGCCAAATTTTGTGAGAGAAGGAAGTTCTAAAAAGAAGAAACTTTGCAGGACTTCCAGATGAAGGAACATCAGCTCTAATCTATTTAATTAATAGCTTACTCAAAAATGCAAGAAAACAAAAGAAAGAAATTTGGTTGCTTTTTCAAAATATGAAAAGGCTTTTGATTCTGTCAGCATCAAGATGCTAGAAATAGCACTACAAAGGATAAAACTCCTTCAGGCCACGAAGAAGTTTATCCTCCAACTGTATTACAGAAGAGAAATAAGTATAATTATGGGAACAGATTTGACAGAAAAGTTTGTAGTAAAAGACAGTATAGACCAAGAGGAAGTCATTTCACCCTTAGTATAGAGAATATTTTATGACTGCTGTTAGTAGCAATCTAAAAAAGAAGAAAATTAGGGCACAAAATAGTAATAGAATAGCCAGAAGATATAACAAGAAACAGAATCCAATAACAAAGCCTTAAAGTAGAAGTAATAGCTTATGCAGATAATATTACTTACATAGCAAGCTCAAAAAAAGATCTTGAGAAAACATTAAAAATCACTGAAGAGTTCTACAGAATAAATAATATAGAGATCAACACAAAAAAATCAGAACTTCTAGTTATTGCATCAGAGAAAAAAGTCAAAATAATAGATAAAAAGGTTAACTTTGGGCCAAATAAAGAAGTAGTGGCAGTGAAAAAGAAAAATGACCCTATAATATTTCTAGAAATTTGGTTAGCGACCAAGAATGGACTAAGCTAAATAGAAAATTTTATTAAGAGAGAAGTAAATATAGTGACAAGACTAGGGTGGGGAATGAGACGAGTCAGGCTAGTGTAGGCCCAGACCAAGGCCTGGAAAATTTTTTTGAACCCAAGCCCGGGCCGGGAAAAAAAAAAAGCCAGAATAACAGGCCCGAACCGGGCTTTATTAAAATTAAGCCCGGCCTGACTAGGCCCACCTGGGTCTAGTCAGACCTCACAATCAAGTTTAAACTTTATTAGCCAATCAAATTTTGAGATCATATATATAAAAAGTTAAAAATCTAAAAATCATCCACTATTTTGCTGATTATTAGTAGTATGATGCAGGAAATTTAAACGCCCCATATCATTATACAGAGATAATGCATAAACTTTGACAGTAAATTGATAAATTTTTTAAATTATTTCAATCATTCATATAGAAATAATTCACCAAGAATAATATGCATATAATAGGAACTATTTTACATATGCATACTACTGAACCTTAAAATAAGCCACTGCTAAATTCAGCTTATCTCTAATGTGTAGTTGATCTTTATTCTATATAAAGCGATCGAGGTTGTTAGATTTTTTGCGCCGTATATGCATAAATAAGAATATATACTTTAATAAATTGCTGCAGTTATCATGTGGATATTGTTCAAATTTTTAATTAGAGATCTTTGAGATCTATAACGTGATTGGTGATGGAATTTAAACTACATATAGATACAATAAATCATCATAATAATAATACAATCGCTATTCTTTCACTTTTTTGACCTGGTTAGATGGAATGCTATAATTTATAATATTATTTTTTAATGCGCTCTAACTTAAGAAATTTTAATGTTGATCACTTTTACATCGAACGAAAATATTTTCTGAAATTGAATATTGAATACGTACTAAAATTGACATATTTACGCATCTTTGTTTCAAATTTTGTTATTATAAAAATATCGGGTATGTGAAAGAGTCTGGTTATTACTGTTTTTGAATTAGTGTGATCATAGAATTTTATGGACACAATAAAGCTCGCGAAGACAATAGTAAAATAAGACAATAGTAATGCGGGAATTCTATGACTGCAACAGCAATAATCGTGATGATGCTTACTTTATTTGAGTCTGTGCATATAATACATAATATACGGTAATATGATTTTAAGATCCATCCTCATCGTAAATTGTTTTTAAATAGCACGACATTAGAGTTACAGAAGGCAATAATTATCTGTCGTAGAAGAGAACGTGTGTAAGTATTTATATCAAAAAAAAGACGAATCGAGAGAAATGTAGTTAATTTTTTTTATTTTTTTTAGATTGCGTCGTCTCTGAATAGACTTGGGAATATTAATAAAAATGGACTATGGTATGGATTAATACGTTAAAGAAATCATAGTCTTTTGATTTTGGTTAAACTTATAAAATTAATGTAATATTAGGAAGCACCTTTTCTTCTGTTGATGAAAGTGCAAATGAAAATGAAATCCCAAAAGAAACCACTATCAATAAAAGTGCCAAAATGACTGCCATTAATGAAAATACTGAAATAACCATCATAAATGAAAGTGCTGAAATAACCACCATGAATGAAAATACCAAAATAGTTAACGAAAATGATGAAACAACAGTTGATGAAAGTTCTGAAGTTACTGCCAGTAATAAAAAATGCAAGCTAATATCATGGGTTTTTAAGAAAGGTCATTTTATTGAGCATCCCCAAAAAAGTAAAAGTTCATGTTTTATATAATATCGCAATTATTAATTTGATAAAATAGTAAATCTTTGTGATATACGTATAATTTATTAGAGGATTATGCTCAATACACACACTGTAAAAGTGTAATAAAGCATGACAACATAACAGGAACCAGTACATTAATTCGTCATATGAAAAATATCAAATGTAGTAAATATCTTAAAACTGACAAATCGCAACAAAGACTACAGCTTTCTTCATCAGGCGTTATAACCTATAAATTTTCCCAAGAAAGAAGTCGCCGAGATTTGATTAATATGATTATTATGCATGCGTATCCATTTCATATAGTCGAGCATGAAGGATTTCTAATCTTTGTTTACAATTTACAGCAACAATTTAAAATGATAAGTAAAAAAACAGTTCGCAAAGACTCTCAAAAAATCTTTGAAGACCTTAAATTAGCAGCCCTATATTAATTCACGAAGTACTGGAAAATTTGAGTTATACAACGGATTTATGGACATCAAACTAAACTCTCGAATACATGGCCGTTATATGTCATTTTATCGATGTCAATTGGAAATTTTAAAAATTAGTTATAGCATTCAAATTAGTTCCCGCACCACATACGGGAGTTGCTATTAGTGAAATGCTTTTTGAATGTTTTAGTGATTGGGATGTTGTATCAAAAATTTTGTCTATTACTGTAGACAATGCAACTAGTAACGATGTTGCAATTAATAATATAAAAAATAATCTTGATAAAAAAAACATGCTTATAGCTAATAGTATTTTTTTACACCAACGTTGTTGTGCTCATATTTTGAATCGTATAGTCGGAGATGGTCTTAAAATGGTTAAGAATATTACAAGTAAAGTTCGAGAGTGTGCGAAATGGATCTGCAGCTCACAACTTAGACAACAAAACTTTGAAGATGCCGTGATCGGTCGTCCTGAACTTGCATCCAGTCAGCAACCAACCCTCGATGTGCCTACCTGTTGGAACTCTGTTTATCTAATATTAGCTTCGACAGCTCTATATAAAAGTGTTTTTGAGTGTCTTTCTTTATGTGATTCTAATTTTTATCAAATAATGTTTTCTGAGAAGACTGGAGAAAGGCAAAGATTATTTGTGACTTTTTAAAGCTATTTTATGATGGTAATTATAAATTTTGTGTATGTTGACAGGAGTCAACTGATCGAAAAGACAGGGGAGAATGGTCAGGGCTTACATACCGTGTGCTACAACCCTGCCTGACAACATGGGTTGGGTCGAAAGAGACATCAGACTTCAAAAATTGCATGCGAATAAAGAAAGCCACCAACTACAATCAGTATTTAAAGAATCGACAAATAACTGCGACACTCGTTCCTCTTTCAACAAACCAAGCTTACAACCATCTCTTTTTTTTTCGATCCAACTCTTTCCACCACACATTGTAGTCTCCTGATTCTGCTAGTTTCATATTTAACAGCCGGCTGCAATCTCACTTGCTAATTTTCTCAGGAGCATATCATCATTTCAGTTCAAATTACTCAGCTCAAATCACTCAGCTCAAATTATGCAGCTCAAATTACTTTCAATGTATTCTGCGAACTTAAAGTCCTTGAATTGAATTTATTTCCAGCACCTTTGGCTTGCCGGTATTAGTCCAATCACATGACCATTCGTACCTATGCTTTTCGAGTATATTTTACTAAAAAAAATAATAATAATAATGATAATTAATTTTTTTATCATAATGTAGTTACAAATATAATATCAGGAAGTACTTACTTGACATCAAATATTTTTCTTCCTTATGTTGTAAAAATCAAGATACATCTTGAACGAAATGCTGCTAATGCAGATCCTTGTATCTGTCAAATGGTTGTACTGATGCAATCTAAGTTTGATAAATACTGGGTAGACATTGAAATTACATATTGTATTGCCTTGATAATGGATCCTCGCTACAAAATGGTGTTGTTAACTAATTTGTATAAACAGAAAATGCATATGTCAGATATTGAAGCAGAGAACAAGCTAAATTCCTAAATTCTATTAAAATGAAGTAGATTATTTTAAATTTTTATTTTTCGAATATAAAATAATACTGATACGGTTTTGCTAATTCACTAATTATTTGAGTGCTGCCAAGAAAAAAACCTGTAAATCTAAATTTTTAATTTTAAATATATGTAGTTACATTTAGCAAATTTATAATCAATATTTCAAAAAGATTATAGAAATTTTTATTTGCACTTATAGTATACTTGCCGCCCGAATCCTAAACTATTCTAGTTTGAATTTGTTCATGCTCAAATCCAAACTAATTATCTTCAAAACTTTACTAATAATCTTTATTTAAGCAAATAATATATATTCTTATAGCTATATATAATATATTTGCAAAATATCAAGATTATTTTTTGATTTAATTTTTTTGTAAAGAGCAATTGATTTTTTGAGTTTGAGATTTGCCTTGGTTTTGCCAGCAAGTATAATTTACAATGAGAAATATGTGCTTAGAATATTTGCATTTATAGAATTCATTGTAGCATGCATACGTTGTGTCAGTGAAAAATGGTTTTGGGCTAGAGGCAGATAATTTGAGACAATATTTATCCTAAAATTGAAGTACTTTGGTTCTATATTGAATTCTTATTTTTTCTACTTGGTACGTATTTTGGTTATGATGTTTGATCATTCAATTAATCAATTTGTTTTTAATATAAGCAGGGTATTGATCGCTAATTTAATTTCTTTTCTTTCTGTTATTAATAAACAGTATCAAATTTACAAAAATTACGGAGACAAGAAAAAATACAATAAACGATGTACTTTAACAATTTGATAATGCTAGAGTAACTATTATTAATAATTTTTGTAAGTTAAGTATTTTGGAACTATATATATTTTTGTTACTATTTAACATTCTACTCAATCTACTCCTACTTTTCTATTATTTTTACTATTTCGATCATTATATAGTGGATTTGGACAAATTGACCTAAGCTACCTCGATGATGATCTGAACCTTTTTCTTCTCACAACGTACTCATTACAGTATTATAGATGCACATATATGTTTGTTATTGCATGAAAATTAAAAATTGATTTACAGGTTTTCTCTTGACGTTACTCATTATTACATATAGTGTTATGGCAATTTATAAAACAACATATATGCAAGATGCAGTTGCTACTAATAGATATAATTTTTTAACATTGTTTCTCAGGAAGATGAATTAATGCAAAACTTTGACCGTTTTCTTGCAGATAATCAAGCTAATGCTACTAATAAAATAAATGATTTTAAGCAATATCTTACAGACCCGCTTCATCCCCGTTCTTCTAAATTATTTGACATTTTGGCTTGGTGGAAAGAAAATGCGCCGAAATATTCTTCTGTGGCATATATGGCAAGAGATATTCTTGCCATCCCAATTACATCCGTAGCTTCAGAATCAGTAAGTGAAGATATATTTAAGTAATAGTTTGTTAATATAATTTATGCTAACTTATATTAATCAGGTGTTTAGTACTGCTAGGAGGGTTATTGATGACTATCGGTCAAACCTAACTCTGGAAACTGTTGAAACATTAATATGTGGCCAAGATTGGCTTATGTGTGCAAAAGAACGAGGTTGAACATACTAAAGAATGATATATATAACAAGATACAAGTCACTCTCATTATAGTGAAGTGATCTGTTCCATAGTAAAAATTTTTAAAAAGTTCATTATATCGAGAGGTTATTAGTAAATTCACTATATCGAATGGATTTTTATATAAACTGGTTTGGGATTTATCTTCACTATACTATAACGAGAGTTCACTATAACGAGAGTGACTTGTATTTCTTTAAATTTTTATTTATTACAGTATTATCATTATTTTTTTTTTAACTTTTTATATAAAATTTATCTTTCTGTGTATTTTTCTAGAAGATATTATTAATGGTAACATTCTAAATAACTAAGTTTACTAATGTAGTTTACTAATGTACTAGCTTTCACATATATTAAAAAATATTCGTATATTATTTTTATAATCACATTTATCGAACAAAGAAGCAGCATCAGAATTTCCAGGTAATTAATTATTTTTAAGTATGTATATTACTACATGTAAAAATTAAAATCTAACAATTAAATTTTTTTAAGTAATAGCAGATTGATATCGATATCGATTTTGCTGCACTTAAATTACTTCATAAATCAAATGGAGTTATTTGTATTTGAAAAAATTTTTTTCAATCCATTTTTTTTTTAATATTAAGTATATTCATGATATTAGCAATAAATCATTTAGTATTATAAGGGTTTCTAAAATATGTTTTGTGATTTTTCTAAACCCATGAATAAATTGCTTAGGCAGTTAAATCTAATGATCTTGAAGGATTTCAAGACTAATAATCTGTTTTAGTGAATCAGATGGTGCAATTGTTTTTTTCAAATAAGTTATGGAGCTGTATAACGTAGCTGTGCTAAAACTAGGAAGGAGGCACATAAGAGGTTTGAAAATTCAAAATGTTTGTAGTCGATAAAATTTCCATAAGCTTGTCAAACGATAATTTTAATTAAACTTAGTCAACTTAGTTGACTATTACAGTATTATCATATATAGCACAGCAAATAAGCACTTACAGCTGTTCTTATTAATTCTGGAACAACTGATAATGATTTGCTTAATTCACAAGTGACTCTTCATGTTTGTTCACCATCTCCACAACTTTAATACTTTTGCATTATTTGGAAGTCAAAAAGAGATTGTTCATATTTACTTATCATATGATATGTTCAGTGTTGGGCAAATTAGTGGCCAACCAAAAAGTTGCTGGTCAAATTGGTCTGGTCAAGCCAACACTGGATATTAATATGTTATCCTATAACTCCTGCAATTGCATTATTTTTTTTGATCGTTAATGATTTATTTCTTCGTATCTTTTCAATTATACTATCATATTCATTGTTTTGCTATATACACACAACTTTTTTTAGTGCTTATCATCTAATTATTAGAGTTACTTAGATCCAAAATTAATTGCGATTGAGTTTTTTAATAACCTTAAACAGATATTTATTTTCATGCTAATGCTAATATACAGGATTTATGCTATTACATATTAATAATCGACAAAGCCGATATTTTAAAAATCGACTAACTTAGTCAACTAAGTTGGCTAAGTAGATTAATAAAATATCAACTTGAAACATTAGCGTTAGAATAACTTATTATTAGCAAATTGAGTCTTTAAACTTTTAAATTTCTTTTATTACCAAAGTCGGTCATATCAAGAATAAAAAATATTCGTCCTTATAGATTAATTTCATCTATTATGGATATAATTGATTTCAATTATGCATATATAATCGATCTCAATTACACAACTTTAATTATAATAAAAATTATTATCACATAATAGATTCATAGATGCATATATATGTGCTTATTATAAAAGGCCAAAAACAAAAGCATAGCTTATAAAGCAAACCTGAAGATGCTTATAAAAATAGATCTATTAAGAAGGTATATATCATCGAATATGGCTGTAAATCATCCTTTTTGTTTTATTATTAGGCCCATTGGGCCTAACCGGGCCCATTCACAAAGCCCGGGCCCGGCCCAATATTTTAGCGAGCCCAATCTAGGCCCGGCCCAAACATTAACGGGCTCAAAATTTTAGGCCCAAATTAGGCCCAAGCCCGGCCCGGCTCACAAATTCCTGAGCTTAGCCCAGCCCGGCCCACAAATTTCCAGGCTTAGCCCGGCCCGTTCCCCACCCTATATACACGACTCTGGATATAACGAACCTTTCTATAACAAACTCTGGATATAATGAACTCAAAAATTTTAAAATGTCATAATAGTTCGGTATAAAAAGTGGTATAGATTCTAAAAGAAAATATAGTGATTTTTTTATAACGAACTTTTGTTCCAGAATCTTCAGTTCATTATAGAAAGAGTTGACTGTAGTTATTTTTATTATTTTTTTCTTGGTTCTTGTCTTTTGCATTAACTTCCATTAATATGTTATTTATTTAGGTGCTTAAGAATCTTTGACGCCATTGCATATAGATTAATATAATTCATCCCGAATTAATAGAAATAATTTAAAAATAAATTTTATTTTTTATACTCATGTGGACTTGTAAGTCGACATTGGTGCAAAATGTCTATTCCTATTCTTTGGAAAGAGCACTATTTAATAATGCAAGTTTTCTTAAGGTTCTCGATTTATGTTGTGACTAATAAATGGCTCAAACTACAAGTTGGTCCAATATCGCCTGATAACTCATTGATATTTTACATAATCAATTTATTGGTTAAGTTATTTATTAAGAATGGCACCTCTTTGCACAAATTACTTTTATGGATACTTAAATTAAGCCAGAGATCTTCTACTTATTAGGACAAAAATATATCGTTCACTTGGAAGCAATTATTAACTCACAACCATAATCGGTGATGAATATTCTGAAAAATTCTGCAGCATCATTTCGGCTTTGGAGAGGCAAAAACAATCATTATGGGAACTTATAATAGATTTTTGTATTTGTAATGAAGAGTTTGAGATCTTTGAGGTTGGTATTTTTTTTTTTTTTCATTTTTGCATTGTTTTCTGTCACTTTTTTCTGGTTTTCATTTTTTTTGTACTAATACTTACCAACTTCTTGCTTATTTAGGTGTTTAAGTGGATCTTTGGGGTCTTTGTGTCATTTTTTGGTAGAAATTTGAAGTTGTTCGTCATTTTCCTTGTAGTTAGTTTTTTTTTTTAAATTAGATATACATTAATTTTATTACCTTTTGTCTTTTTGCTTTAACTTTTTCTTGCTTATTTTAAATACTTGGAGGTTCTCAGTGATCGAATTTTAGAGGATTTTTTTCGCTGTTTTTCTGAGGTTAGCAATTTTTTTTTTTAGGCATTCTTGCTTTTGTTTTTTTTGCTCTTTTTTTCACTAGTTTCTACTAACTTTCTTATTTAGGTGCTTCAAGGATTTTTGGAGTCTTTGCATCATTCTTTGTTGATAAAGCTTTTTTTTCAGATGTGGTCTTGTTGTTGAAGTTGGAGTCATTGTCACAGTTGTCATTATTGGAGTGGTTGGAATTGATGTAAGTCGATTTGTTTTTGCGTTTCTTTTCTTTCTATATTTACTAACATTTTTTTTTCAGATGTAATCTTGTTGGATAAGTATTAATTTTTGTTGTCCTTCATCAGTTCCTCTTTCAGTTGATGGAACTAATTTTTTTTTTTAGTCATTTTTTGTTTGAAAGCAGTGACTGGACCAAGATAGAACCAGGCTAGTCTTTAAGATAAGTACCAGCTTTTTTTTTTGTCTTCATTAGTTTTTTTTTTAGCTGCCAGATTAATTTTTTTTTTTAGGTAGTTTTTGTTTTAAAACAGCAATCAGACGCAAGATAGGACTGGGCTGGTCTTAAGGATAAGTACTGGATTTTTTTTTTTTTTTGCCTTCATTAGTTTCTCTTTTAGTTACCGGAACTAATCTTTTTTTTCTTTAGATATTTTTTGTTTGAAAGCAGGAACCGAATAGAGTAGAGATTGTACTCACTAAAAAATTTTACCCAGTACTATTAAATTACTCAGTTATCCAGGTAATTTATTAT